GAGTTACCGCAAGTACAAACATAGGTTTCCCATTGTCAGCTATGAAATAGCCAGTCCTTGGATTTCTTTATCTTTCAAAGATTACAGTGAGGAAAGTCCCTGAATCACAGCCAGTGTCAAAGTTGAAATGAGCATCTACTGCAACTAAATAGCAGTAGCTTCAAGGAAACCCATGTTGAAAGCTCATTTTTACTAATAGCAAAAATGTGTGCTCCTGTATTAGCATATTCCAGACTTAATTGGCATATTTTAAAGAATATATTCTTTTAAATCACCTTTAAAATCACTATTAAAGTACTTAAATGTTATGGAGTTTAAATAACACAGGAACCCACATTTTAAAGTACAGCTAATAAAAAACTCCTGAAATGACTTCATAGTAATTTTTGGAGTCATTAGTAGTTGCTTAAGCCTCCGAAATTGCTTTTCATACACGAAATGTGGAAATAAACTGTTGTCCATTTATTACCATCAGTGCTGACTGTGTGAATATTGGTGACCCTAGACGCAGAGGCAACCTTGTTCCCCAGCTAGATGTCCTAATGAATTTAGGAACTATGCTGCATTTGTCTGAATAAACATTTGATAACAATTTGAGCTACTGTCTACTACATGTATTAGTTTTATGTACTATGATAGATTCTAAAATGCAATCATTTTAAGAGCTAGTTATTGAAGCCAGGCTGTTACTTTCATCTGCAAATCGTGTTATTAATCTACTCCACTGTAACATGGAACATCGCTGTTACTGTGAATCCAGGGTTCATAGTCAGCTGTTGCTCTTTGTGATGTTCAGTGTAGATTACAGCTTTTGGGTAATCTTCAGCTATACGCTTTCAAAATTAATACTTGTAGCTGGATCACTAACAACTTACGCTGGGTTTACTTTTTCCCATTCAGGACTGGTCATGCAATTTTTTCGTTTTTCAAGCAGTAAATTCCTTCAGGTTAACACTGTCATTAGACAGTAAAGGCTATTCCATGAATAAGAAAGTGTTAAATGGCAATGGAAAATCCAAGTTTTAATGAGAGCCCCTGATCAAAATGTCCATTTGGGTGTACAGCAGGAATAGTGATTTATCAATAGGAAAAGTTAAGGCTTTAATTGTAGATTCTCCTAGTAATATATTTGGGGAGAAGCCTGTGACACTATTTCAGGGGTACTTCTTGATTAGTTTCATTTTCTTTTAGGAGGACTATGCTAAGAAAATCCTTTTTGTTGTGCAGATCAAGCAGTACAATTGGTTTTTCCTGATCACCATCAGCCAACTTTTCTGAATGTTGGTGGGTGGGGGATTTCCTTCCCTCTTGTCTAAACATGAAACAATGCAGTCAATAACATTACACCTTATACTTGTAATGGAGCACCCTAAAAATTCATTGGATTCAATAAAAGAAAAAACTAAACTGTGTGCATTAGTATGAATGAATTTTGGCGGCACATAAAATGTAGCAGCAGACTCACCCATATGTAATCAACAGTCTGAAATAACTACAGAAAAGTTGCGTGCCGATTGACAACAAAGAAAATGTACAGACACCAACCTTGTAATGGCTTTTTCTTCTGAAGGAGCATAAAAATCCACAGACCCCTTTTGTGTAGATTCTCCTCCTGGTGCCAGAACAATTGTCTGGCAATCTGCGTAGTTCTAGGGAGAACGGCTGCTTTCTCTTGCCATATATTACATCCAAGTGCGTATCACCCCATTTGGTTTAATAAGAGAACCACATCTCAAAATCATTTTCTTCTGCTCCAGGAAAGATGGAGATGTTTTGAAACTGCTTTGCCTTGCCTTAGCATGCTGAAATGCCCTAGCCAGCCAAAGTAGACCTTGCTTCCATATACTGCACACTTGGGTGTGTTTCTTAAACAAACGCATGCCTAGACTTTAAGCAGTCAGCCCATATATGATGTCACTGGAGAACAGGAGGCGGGGGAAGACTCCGAAGGATTTCCTACCCAAAACTTTTGGAAAAAGGAGAAAACTGGCAGGGGGGAAGGAGGGGCAGAGGGAGGGGGAGAACCAGAGTATGAACAAGGAGAGATTGTCTGCTGGTTTAAGGGAGGGCAGCAGATGGAGAAACAATAAGAAAAGTTTAGGCAATTGCAAACTATTTTGCTGTGCAGCCTAAAGATGCCTGTCGGGTTGTTGCAGCAGTAAGCTTAGTTATGACTGGAGATTGTCAGGCTAGTAAACTCACTTTTGTGTTCCCAGAAACGGAAGAAACAGGCTGAGTGAATTTAACAGTAAAATGAAGCAGTTACAGTCCCGAAGAATGCAGACCAGAATGTCACCTTCAATTCTTTAAGTTTATTTAATAAGAAACAGTTCTTCACTGCAGTGGTAATCAATAAAATAGAAGATAATGTTAATTCTTTTTGTGAATGTTGCATACATGGAGAAATATGTTGGAAGGGAGAGAGCTGGACTTTTCTTTAGTACTATAAGAAAGAGTCACATGCCAGTTAACAGTTTTACAGTATTTTGAGAGGAAAATAAAACACTTAATTTTGATTAATAGCAATTATCTTAATGTTTTATTCTAAATATCTGTGTAGGCAAGGTAAACAATTGCATGAACTTCATGCTAGAAACCTGCAAAACTTACATGTAATTTAAATTAATTTTGCCATTGAACTTACCTACATTGGCTGCCATCATTCTGCCAAATCTTTAAACTCAACAATCAGACAGAGATAATGAACAAATTCAAGGCACCCCACCATGTCTCAAAGGTGCAACGTTTTCTGTATAACTACAGTACTTGAATACTTCAAAAGCTTAAAGTTCTGCAAGTACAATTTATGAAGATTGTGGTTATTTAGAATCAATGCAAATCGGAGCAGTTTTTAATTATCTGTAGCAAGCATTTATTTTTACAGTATGGCATATAATAACTCTCAGAATGTAGAAGAGCAGAGCAAACCTTATTTTTAAGTACTTTAGTTCCCCAAGTTAACTTAGATGTAAGCAAACTCGCCAAGTCACCATAGATGCATTTCTAAGAATAATTACTTTAATTCAGAGAGGAGTAAAACTAAAGCCTGACTTCATGTTGGACTGGCAGTATACAATTGCAGCATTGTAGTCAGGCAGTGAGGGCTGGTGACGCTTTGTTTATCCAACCAATCTAGTTCGAAATTTTCCTAGGAGACCTTTTGATATAAGGTTAGCGCTTTGGAAGAACATTATTGTAACATTGAAGCCTTGGAAGAATATTTCAGGGCAAAGGGTCAGTTCAAGAAGATCACTTCTGGCAAGATCAAGTGGCGTTCAAATCTGTCAGTTTTGGTTCTTTCCCTTTCTCATTTTTTCAATCAGCTCATTAGATTTCTGCATCACTTTGTGATTTTTTTTAAGTATTCACAAAACTTCTCAAGCATATAGTGCACAGTTATCCTAATATGCACATTTTTGTTTGCAGTTTTGCCTAACAATACATAGTTTTATAGACTTTTTTTTTCTAATATGCATTTTTTTGTTATTTTCACTAAAATTTGCATTTTATTTACATTCCCCTAATACACACATCAAGGGACGCGGGTGGCGCTGTGGGTTAAACCACAGAGCCTAGGATTTGCTGATCAGAAGGTCGGAGGTTCAAATCCCCGTGACGGGGTGAGCTCCCGTTGCTCGGTCCCTGTTCCTGCCAACCTAGCAGTTCGAAAGCATGTCAAAGTGCAAGTAGATAAATAGGTACCGCTCCGGTGGGAAGGTAAACGGCATTTCCGTGCGCTGCTCTGGTTTCGCCAGAAGCGGCTTAGTCATGCTGGCCACATGACCCAGAAAAACTGTCTGCGGACAAACGCCAGCTCCCTCAGCCTGTAAAGCAAGATGAGCGCCGCAACCCCAGAGTCGGTCGCAATTGGACCTAATGGTCAGGGGTCCCCTTTATCTTTAATATACACGTCACATTTTTGTTTGTTTGAGAACTTCATTGTAAAATTCAAATTCAAGTGCAAATTAGGTAGCTTTGCTTCAAAATGCAAACCAAACCACATGATCAACCATCAAACCCAATTCTTTGCTACTTTATCATCAGGGAAGGAGTTTTGCTACTTGATAATCAGCTCATTCTCTGAAATTCAGAATATTACTGACATCCCTTGTAGGTTGGGGTTAAGTATGTGACATTCTTTCCTCCCTCTCTGGCATCACTTTTTTTGCTGAGACAAACTTAATAACATTATCTAATTCATTGAATTAACTCTGTGCTACAGTAGGGATGTTTTTGCCAAATTGTCCTTCAAAAACGTCTTAAACAGGATTTTTAAAGTCCGTGTACAATTGCTCATGGCAATTTCAGAATATTATAAAATGTTTCAGAATGTTAATTTAGACTAAGATATAAAGTATTTTACTCAGTTCTGTGACTTCTTGACCATGTGCTATTATTTGTAAGAACTCAGCTTCCTCTAAATATGACAACTTTAATTTTTACGCCATGACTACATAACAAGACCTAAAAACGTAACTGTGGTTTATCTAGAAAGTTATAAAAAAAACCTGGATGTAGCAAATACTATTGATTTAAAAATAAGGTTGAAGGGAAAAGAAATGCCCATTAACCAAATACTTTTAACCTGTTGATTTGTAACATGCTTTTAAGTATGTGCAACCTTATACCCTTGTAACAGCATTCAGTTTTCAGATATGGCAAAGCTACATGTTCCTCATATCTTCAGTGCCTTGTCACTTGTTCTCCAGCTTAAAGCACAACTGAAAGGATATGCTTCTGATTATGGATTATATCCAACACTGGACACACCGAGTTGTGTTTACGCAATGGGACTTTCCCTCTCTTTTCTTTGCACACCCTTAAAATCTGCTCTGGGGGGTCCTCCAGCACAAGCGGTGGAGAAGAGGAAAGTTCTGTTGTGCAACGGAAAATCGGCTGTGCCTCTGAAACAGCAGCATTGGAGACAATGCTAAACATTTTGGATTTTGTTGACCAAGACAAAAAATCTTTTTTTGTGTGTGTGATCTTATGTTGTCCAGGTATTTATCTCTCAGATTTGACATACATTGACTCGGCATACCCATCGACAGGGAGTATTTTGGAAAATGAGCAGAGATCAAACTTAATGAATAACATACTCAGAATAATTTCAGACTTACAGCAGTCATGTGAATATGGTAAGTTGCTATGCATTTATACTGCAGCATTGTAATTAATCACTGAATAAGGTTCTCTGAATATAAAACCCATTAATTCTAATCACCTATGTTCTGGGGTCAGCTACCCATCAAATGCAAGAGTTCCCTCCTAACGGAGCATAACACTCACAAGGCAAGTTTTACCCAACTCTGGGGACATTTGGAGTGGCAGAGCCAACACCTCTTCCAAAGCCCTACTGGCTCTGGTTAATTACAGCAGAATGTGGAGAGGGGAATAGTCATTTTCCCCCTTTCCTGTGGCAGTTCTAGGATGGTGCAAGAGAAGGACCCAGATCAGGACCCTCACCTGTCCAATGGATCCTTGACTGACCTCTCTCCACCTCACCCTCACAATGTCCCATTTCAAAGCCTTGCACTTGTTTACTGCTGGTGGCACAGTACCTCCAAAATAACCTGAGCCTTCTGTGGGTGGAGCAGGGGCTTCCATAGTAGTAGAAGGACACCTAGAGCACAGATCAGGTGTTAGGCATGCTTCCTTAGTACAGTGGTACCTCGCAAGACGAATGCCTCGCAAGACAAAAAACTCGCTAGACGAAAGGGTTTTTGGTTTTTTGAGCTGCTTCGCAAGACGATTTTCCCTATGGGCTTGCTTCGCAAGACGGAAACGTCTTGCAAGTTTGTTTCCTTTTTCTTAACACCGTTAATACAGTTGCGACTCATAGAACGCGGTGTGGTAGCCTTTTTTGAGGTTTTTAAAGACTTTGGTGATTTTTGAAGCTTTTCCAAAACTTTCCCGATACCGTGCTTCACAAGACGACAAAAATCGCAAGACAACAAAACTCGTGGAACGAATTAATTTCGTCTTGCGAGGCACCACTGTAATAGTAGTTTATCAAGTATATTATTATATACTTAAGTGATGTTTGAAAATCTGTTTGTTTATGCGGACCTTTGGGACAGAATGTTTGAATTCCACTCTTCGTTTTGCTGCAGTAGACTAATCTGGCTACCCCTCTAGGAGTTAGTACCACAACAGAATAACATCCATTGTCCATTATAGTGTGTTTTCCCATGCACTTGTGCGGTTAATCTACAGTTCCCTGCTTTTGTTTGCATTTGTTTTATCTTTTTGAAGGATGGCATAACGTATTTTCTAGCCCATAAATTAATGGGGTGTGAGAAGCATGAGGTGTTAATTGTGTATTTTAAGGAAGTAATAAGATGTAGTGCATCTATGGGATGGGATAAGCAATTTAAAAAAAATACATTTGCAAAAGTCAGCTCTTGGTAAAGGATACCAAAATCCTGATTACATTTTGCTTGCTGTCTAGATATTCCTGTGTTGCCTCATGTTCAAAAATACTTGAATTCTGTTCAGTATATAGAAGAACTTCAGAAGTTTGTGGAAGATGACAATTATAAGTAAGTATAAAATCAAGTACATTAGAATATAACAATTGTTTTTGCTTTTAAAGCTAAGTAATATTTCGTAAAGGTAAAGGACCCCTGACAGTTAAGTCCAGTCACAGACAACTCTGGGGTTGCGGTGCTCATCTCGCTTTACAGGCCTAGGGAGCCAGCGTTTGTCCACAGACAGTTTTCCCGGGTCATGTGGCCAGCATGACTAAGCCACTTGTGGTATTTCATAAAGAACAAGAAATGAAGGCAAGAGCAATCCCTTAGTTTCATGACCATTTGGAATTTTTGGGAGCTCCTTGAATTGTAGTCTGCCTTGCATCTCCCTTGATTGGAATTTAAAGATAAACCATAGGTAGCAACCAAAGTCTTCAAATAATTATCCATGGGAAAATGACTTAAGTTAGTCCTGACTAACTTACATGTTTCAATTGTTTAATAAAAGTATTTCTTCCCCATTTCCCCTCTAAATAGACCCCAGGGTGGTGTATAGCATATGAATACATGAAAAAGCATTGTCAACCGGTTCCCACCTATATTGCCTTATAAGCAAACCTTTTTGTGGTTGTTTCTAAATGCAGGCTTTCATTAAAGATAGAACCCGGAACAAGTACCCCACGTTCTGCTGCATCTCGTGAAGATTTAGTAGGTAAATGTTTACCAGACAACAATAAAGTTTAAATATTTTTTAACATTTCTTTGTTTCTAAACTTGTCTGTTGAAGGTGTAAAAACAGAGTCAAAGATGTCCTGAAGAATATACACTGGCCCAATGCTTTTAAAGTCTTTCAACTATTATACAGTGGTAGCTGGTTTCAGCTGTTCAGTGATAACTTAAACACTGGAGGTGCTTCTTGTTTCTTAATAAGAATAAAACTTAAAATTGAAACTTACCTGGGATAGCTCAGTTGGTAGAGCGTGAGACTCTTAATCTCAAGGTTGTGGGTTTGAGCCCCATGTTGGGTAAAACATTCCTGCATTGCAGGCATTTGGACTAGATGACCATCGTGGTCCCTTCCAGCTCTATAATACTATGGTAAAAGATAAAGGGACCCCTGACCGTTAGGTCCAGTTGCGGACGACTCTGGGGTTGCGGCGCTCATCTCGCTTTACTGGCCGAGAGAGCTGGCCAGTTATGTTATGTGGCCAGCATGACTAAGCTGCTTCTGGCGAACCAGAGCAGCGCACAGAAACGCAGTTTACCTTCCCGCCAGAGTGGTACCTATTTATCTACTTGCACTTGACATGCTTTCGAACTGCTAGGTTGGCAGGAGCTGGGACCGAGCAACAACGAGCTCACCCCGTCACAGGGATTCGAACCGCCGACCTTCCGATCAGCAAGCCCTAGGCTCTGTGGTTTAACCCACAGCGCCACCTGCGTATACTATGAACTGTGCTTAAAAACTACATACTAACCAAACACTAAAAACAGGTTTTCAACATTTAACAAATGCCAACAAATTACTTGAACACATCTATTTTAAAGGTGGTATCAGTGGCTGCTTTACATTTATGTGTATTTTGAGAAGGATGTTCTTGTGGACTTCCATTATTTGGTAAAAAGCAATGAGCATTCTAAGGAGCTCTTGCTGTGTTCTTTTTAAAAAATGGAGTTGAGGTAGTCAGGAGACAGATTTAGGGATAGAGAGCTGCTGTGACTAGAGCTTAGGAGAGAATTTTTCTAGGAATTCATTTCCAACTTTTTACAAATCCCTCCATCTGAATATTCTTTCTCTAGAAGTGAGTCAGTAATAACTTAAAATATCCATACCTAATAGTGTGTGCATTTTCTGTGCCTGGAGAATAAGGCATTTAGTACATTTCAGGAGACATTTTCCATATTTGGAGAATCTTCAGATTGCAGGAATATCTCCCAATATTACTATTAAGGATGTCCACATACCATACAGACAAATGACGTAGGCCAATTACTGAAATATCTCTTACATCTCCATAGTATCAGCTAAAAGAATGTGTTAAGCATGCCAATTTTCACATGCGTTAGTTCTCTAGTTTTCACAAATCTATTTCCTTGTCTGACTTCAGTTTGAGGATACTAGTTACCAAAGGCTTAATATGTTCATGCCAGGGCCAAATAGTTTGATATTTCAACAACATTTGGTGTGTTTTTAAAATAAATAAATGAATACCAGTAGGAGCCAGTAGGAGAACACTTCAATCTCCCAGGACATTCAGTACAGGATCTCAAAGCAGCTGTCTTATTACAAAAGAATCTCAGAAACAGACTTGAAAGAGAAGTTGCTGAATTACAACTTATCACTAAACTGAAAACCATGGAGAGACCTGATCTTAATAGAGATATTGGATTCTTGTCTCATTACATATGCTAAAGCTATTTTTGGTCATCTGTAGGACTGTAGTTTCCTGTAGGACTAATTGCAGTCGTTAACAGTTGTCCACAGGTTTACTATACCCATTAAGTCAATCACCCATCTCCTACTACCGTCCTGAGAAAAACCCCACCCCACCCTCCCACTATATATATATGGGTCTGGTGACTTCTGTTTCAGTGTATCTGAAGAAGTCTGCATGCACACGAAAGCTTATACCAAGAACAAACTTAGTTGGTCTCTAAGATGCTACTGGACATTTTTTAAATATATTTAAATAAATACTTGTTATATAAGAATCCATTCATGTATTTTTTAAATTATCAACTCTAGTTTGGACATAGAAATTGGGGAGTCATAAGTGTGATAAGTATTTGTCGTGTTCACCTAAAATTTGCTCTCTCTTTCTTTTTTCCAGGTCCTGAAGTGGGAGTTTCGCCGCAAAGTGTTCGAAAAAATGCTACAGCTGAAGGAGCATTGCTACCACCGACTCCTCCATCCCCAAGGAATCTGATGCCACACGGGCATAGAAAATGTCACAGTTTAGGATACAAGTTAGCATTTGATTTGAAATTCAGCTTAGATGCTGTGTGTTGTTGACATAATCCCCGTATGTTAGCCCTTTTATCCCATGAGCCCCAATCTTATTACTTAAAGAATGATTTGTCTTGGTACCTTTTTGTCGTTTTGTTTTAGCATCTAGCGGCCTGCTTTGCATGTATCATTAAAGCCATGGCGTAAAATAAGCCAGGACACCATGAATGAGCAGTGTGCAGTTGATTTTTTTCCACAGGCCTGTTTTAGGTTCATTAAGGTGGAGCTAGCTCGCCACCAGCCACATATGGAAGGCTACCAGGGATTCATAAAGTCTCCCGCTTTTGCAACCTGTGTGGGCCTGGTGTCATATCAGATTCCTGGCAGCCATAGTACATAACTGGTGGCTGTGCTTGGCCAGTTGGACCACAGTTTGTGCAGTCTTCTCTGTAGGAATCCTACTGCCATTTGAAATATCCCTTTGTGCCTCCTGAGCTGATCTAATGCAAATTAGCACTTATTTATTAATCACCTCAAAAACTTATGAAAACACCATTACACAGGGAGGGTTGCTTTACATTTACTTTTGAAACGGCTCCCAAATTTTCTAGTGTTAATGGCAAAATCTACACATAGCACCATGAATTGTGAATGGTGCATGTACCAGGGAGCCAGTCCTTTATTGCTAGCGTTGTTGCAGGGAAAATGCAGTCATTTTAAAAAGAAGGTGTGGTAAATCACTGTGTGGTTATTTTGCCACTTAAACATTCATACTTTTTGTGCCCATGTTCAAAATGCGTAAATCCTCTCTGCAATAGATCCCTGTCGTACACACTTGGTGTACTCTTTTGTTTATATAATTGCCATGCTGAGTTGGATTGTTATCATGGAGAACTAGAACATGAGTACTAGAAAATGTATTACCTTGATACGTAAAATGTGTTATGTCCTAAAGTAGTTGTGCGTTTTGTTTTTATCTCCTTTGTTCTTTTTATAGTTTTATTCATAAAACGAACACAGCAGAGTTCAAAAGCGCAACATTCCCCAACGCAGGACCAAGGCATCTGTTAGATGACAGTGTCATGGAGCCACATGCCCCATCCAGGGGACAGGCAGAGAGCTCCACTCTTTCTAGTGGAATTTCAATAGGTAAGATGTTAAGCCTACTGAGCAGTGAAAGGTATTTCTAGGCTTGTATCCAAAAGTATTAGAGGGATCATTTTTTATGGTACTGGAACAGTTCCACATAAGGCTTTTTTTACCCTAAGAAAAGGATAAACTCTGAAAAAGCTTCAATATAAAATGTTAATAATGTGTTTCTTACTAATAAATTTTATAATCTGGAGCCTGAGTTCATGGCTCTCCGCAAACCCCCATCAACTGACTCGCCAATATCTGGCCTAGTGACCAACTCCCTCCTGCCCAAAGATGGAAATACCCAAGTGAAAGTGCTTCTGAGAGATTTCTGAATTTTGCTTTGCTCACAAGGCAGCAGCTCTGGCCATGCATGCATCGTGTTTGGTCTTGGTCTTCTCTGGACTGCCCCTCTTATGGTGGATGGCATGCTTGATGACCCTTGATGAATGCACCCCCAATTTTACTTTGCAGCCAATTGTTACCTGTCCCATATGTGATGTTACATATGATGTCAGTTGTGGAGCCAATGGTCATGGTTTGGGAAAAACTGCATTGTGGGCCCATTTCACACCCCTGTTGGGCTTGATTTTGCATATGAGTCAGAGGTCCCCATGCTTGCTGTCACAGGCTTTGCAAATTTGCATCTCTTCAGTTCTGTCAATGTAATTAATAACAGCCAGTGTGGTGTAGTGGTTAAGAGCGGTAGTCTCGTAATCTGGGGAACCAGGTTCGCGTCTCCGCTCCTCCACATGCAGCTGCTGGGTGACCTTGGGCCAGTCACACTTCTCTGAAGTCTCTCAGCCCCACTCACCTCACAGAGTGTTTGTTGTGGGGGAGGAAGGGAAAGGAGAATGTTAGCCGCTTTGAGACTCCTGAAGGGGAGTGAAAGGCGGGATATCAAATCCAAACTCTTCTTCTTCTTCTATAATAGTCATAACATTGCTGTGTGTGTCAGTTGATCTATCCTCAGCGCCAAATCTAGTACCAAGCATTGATACTGCTGCTGGCACTGTGGTCTAAACCACTGAGCCTCTTGGGCTTGCCAATCGGAACGTCGGTGGTTCGAATCCCCGTGATGGGGTGAGCTCCCATTGCTCTGTCCCAGCTCCTGCCAACCTAGCAATTTGAAAGCATGCCAGTGCAAGTAGATAAATAGGTACTGCTGCAGTGGGAAGGTAAACGGCGTTTCAATGCTTTCTGGCACTCGTCGCGGTCCTTCACACCAGCTGGCTCCCTCGGCCTGAAAGCAAGATGAGCGCCGCAACCCCATAGTCGCTTTTGACTGGACTTAACTGTCCAGGGGTCCCTTACCTTTTGTCTTTACTGCTGCCTCTGTACTGATAAGTTTGACAGTGTCTGTGGTGTTTCATGCTGTTCTCAGGGTTCCATTAGTATCAGGAAAGACCCTGGATGTGAGGCTCCAACCAAAGAAAATAAGATCTAAATGGTTGCCTTCATCCTTCCTTGCTGAACTGAAGAAGAGTATAGAATAAGAGACTTAAAACTTTCTTGTCTCCTGAATGCCAGTACCAGCTGTTCTGCCAAGGACCTCTTCTGGTTTTAGAGAATATGTGGCAGCTGTTTCAGAATTCTGCTCCAGGTTGCTAATGACACTCCGTTAGTTACTGTTTTTTATGTTTCCAAAGGAAAATACAACTGGGGGCTTATTCACGCTTCCTCTCGTCCTGCTGCTTCCCCCCAGGAAAAGCTGCTCTTTAGTGCTCAATTGGAGCAAATGGTAATTTGGGTTTTTCCTGAGAAAGGAGCAGGGCAAGGGTAAAACCACTTGGAACTGTGCCTAGAAAACACAGGTCAAGCAGAAGACCACTCGGACTCATGTTTTCTAGGCATGGAACAAACAGAAGTGTGGGCAAGCCCTTGCTTATCTGTTTCAGAAGAAGTCCTCTGTGTAATATCTCTTTGAGGAAAGCACAGTTGTAACCTAAGGAGGCCTTTTTATTTTAACTTTGCAATTCAGGCTCCACTACAGTGTAGCTCCTTTTGGCGTCATGAACATATCACAGAAATATTTTATGTTTAATTGCTTTGGATATAATTATTTCACCATTTTTTCTATTATCAGAAATCATACGTTGTTTGGCACTAAATAAATGTGGTACTTGTAAACATTCATAAACAATATGTATGTTGCCTTAAATTAATTGGGGGTTAGCCATCATTTATCATAACCATTTCACCCTTTGTTCACATCCTGCCTGTCATCGCATCGCATTTCTATTTCTGTTGTAACCTTGCCCAGAACAATTGACGGCCAAACCACAATCTGCGCTCATATGTACTCTACTGGTCACAATGTTTTTAGAAAAATAATCTGATTTTTTTGTTCTCTCTAACTTGAAGCTTTTTAGAAGCGTCATGAGTAAGAATCTGCATGTAATCACCATTTTTACCCCTTTGTAACAAAGACTTCATTTATAGTTTTTGAATGCACAAATCCCTGAGATGTATTAGAAATTGCATGAAAAATGCAGGTTCTGTCTGGGCTGGAAGATACTTACGACTTGTTTTGAGTGCAAGCTGAATGATTCAGACAGATTTAGGGGAAACACTTCAATCCACAGTTGTAGTGCTATAATGATTTGCCTCTCTCATTGCTCAGAATTATATTCAGTTCCTAAACTGGCTTCATTTCCATTCCCATATTCAGCATGGCTCCATTGTCTTAACCTTTAAAGCCTTCAGTGACCATTTATTTCTCTGACTTCATATCCCCAATGAGCTTCACTCCTCTACCTTAGCTAAACAGGGGCCTCTTGCTCCTTTCAATAAGTCTATACTTTCTCCCTTCCTGCTTTTAAGTTTAGGGTTTATGGGAGCAATTCAACCTTGTGTGGTTGCAAACATTCCATCAGTGCAGGCTTATCTGCTTGTCCCAATGGAACAATCTTCCTTTTCCTTTCTCCATGCACTGTTCTTGGGGTTCACCCAGCACACACACACCCCCGAGCCAATTTGGAAGGCGGAGGGGAGAGGGAAGCCCCTTTGCATGGACTTCCACTAGTGCAACCAGTGAGTTGACTCTAGCCCTGTGTGTATCACCACCTTTTCCTTCAAATTCCTCCAAGCTTACCAATACCATCTTTTTAGGAAAGCCTTAACCCCTCATCCCTACCCATTGCTTAAACTTAGCTTTTAGCACTCTTGCCGCCACTTCATGCTGTTTTCTTGTGTTGCCTCACCCGTTCATTTAACGACAAGATTGCAAATGCGTCAGCCACATCTCAGCATAGGGACTTACCCTTTTGTTACTCCATGAAGTTCAATGCACACTAATAATAAAGTGCTTATCTGTTTTGGCCTTCTGTTACATGTTCATACATTTATTTTCTACCCTTAAAATATATTTTTTTCTGGGTGGGCTTACACAGCTTAAGAATAAAATTTAACACCCTCTGAATTCAGAGACACCCATCTCTTCAGTGAGTGTGTTTAGAATTGTGGCCTTTTGTTTGAAAAGAAGAACCTATATCTCTTTGGCTTTGATGGTCACATAGTAATGTTGCTTTGCTATCTTTTTTCTTTTTTTTTTTTTTTGCCACTGTGCAGGACAAACATGAGTTGTTGCATACATTTTTGGAGTAGTTTATGTGCCATAATTCACTGGGATCCAAAAAGACTTTAAAGCCCTTAGTGGGGTTCTGAGTGGTGAAAGTGCAAGATACACATTTATTTAACACACACACATATTTTCCTTTCTGTGCAATAGAAATTTGGCTTGGTTTAAAAATCATATTAAAATTCTGTAATTGAACTTTTGTGGTATTCACCTGGCATTGGAACCATAGGGCATGTATTTTCAACATGCATGTACCTGAAAGGAAGGTGTTTAATTCTTTTTACTACTATCTCCTCCCCCCTTTGTACAAGAATTAAAAGAATCCAAATTTTTCCTCTTTTTTCCAATATAATTTTATTGATTTTCAAATTTTAACAGTTGTATAATACCATAACATAACAACCATTATATCATTTGCTCTGCCGAGCATCCAATTTTTTCCTCTGGGAAAGGGCAAGAAGCTTTAGCCATATGTCATATTTGCCCCCCTCCCCCATTGCTGATTTTCAAATAAAATACTGGGTAGGTTTTATTTTAATAAAGCATAATCAGAATTAATCCAGCAAGGGACACTCACTTTATTTTGCCTTTAGTGCTTCAATTTCTAACAAGATTGACAGCAGCATTTTGTAAAATGAACTATATTAGAATTGCAGCAGCAAGAATACACAACTGTACTTCTTTTCCCAAGTGTTATGAACCTGCATCTTCCATTTCCTCTTATAAAAGCTGCTTTATACTACTTATCTTTATCTTCTAACACACAAATTGACTCAAATAATATATATTTTTTAATAGCATTATGGACGATTCCGTTATGATTGGCAAATAAATCATAGAATGAGAGGATTATTTAGTTTAAACTCTTATTCTGATTTTAGGTAGCAGTGATGGTTCTGAGCTGAGTGAAGAGACTTCATGGCCAGCATTTGAAAGGTAAGAGAAGCCACTATATCTCTGTTTTGTTCAAATGCTTCACAGATCACAGTTCTTCTGTGTTTCCATGTAGAAGAATATGTGCAAAATATGCATGGAATGTATGCTCATCCCTAAGTAGTTGTTTTTTAGTCAGGGAGCTCTTTTGAGGTTCCATGCTTTTTCTACGTGAAATAGAACAGAATAGCATGTGAAGCAATCTTAACTATATCACACAGCAATATATTTCAGTGGTGTGGTGTCACTGGACTTTTGCTTCAAGAGAATTCTGTCTAACATCTGTGCCTGGTCAGGCTAGCTGCCACTCCCAGTTGGAAAACTGTTAACATCTATTGCGTTATGGTTCAGTGCTGGAACCCATTGGTAAAACAGCAAGGCTGGAGGCAAGGCAAGCTAGTTGAAGGCTACTGGACCACAGACAGCGCCAAGTGAGCAACCTATCCAAGACCTTTTATGTCTCTATCTACAGACTGCCACCTCCAGGTCCCTCCCCTTTGAGAAAACCTTAAAAGGCCAGCCCTCTGGCATGAAAGTGGGCATTCCTCCTTTGTTCCATAGCCTTCTTTTTATGCTGCCAGGTATCTGGTTCTTCTGGCTCAGGGAAGGGTGTCAGTTGAGATCTTGACTCTGGTCCTAATGGCTCTGGTAGTCTGGGAGGTTCCTCTATGAGTTCTTGGCCAATACCTCAGATGCAGTGCTCTTCCTAATTTCTGCAGTCAGCTCTAAGCACTCGCCCAGACCCAGCTCCCCATCTGGTGCCCCTGCAGCCTCCAATTCTGTGTCTAGATCATTGCTGGATCATGCCAAAAGCAACATCCAGAACTGAGGAGAGACTGCTCTCAATTCCTTCATAGCCTGAAGCCTAGAGTCGTCCCCTAGAGTGCTAGGGGAATGGCTTCCTGGAATGGCAAATGGGCTTTCAAGCCCAATATCACATGTTGAGTGTTGTCTGCCCCTCGGATGTACATTGTCCTCTTCTACAAGAACCTTCTGTAACTCTTCACATTTTATTGCATAGCTTCAACATAACTTAGACTTGGGAGTTCAGAGAGGGTGGTGCAATCATGGTCAGGAAGCTAGTAAGTTGGAAAATGCAAGGTCCAACAGGCACCAGGATCTTGAACTGGAGACTTTCATTCTATGTTCCACTGTGGCAGCTCCTAAGGGAACTGCTCTTACTAGTCTTAGCTGTACTGCAGTACTGCTTTTGTGGATATCCGGAAGGTGGTAGTGCTATTCATAAGGAGCCAATCAATAACTTCTGGCCCCCAAAAACTGGCCTGTTCATACACTGCTTTTCTCCTCTGAACCACATGACTGCATTCAGGCCACCAACCTTGATAGTTAATATTTCTGCATGGTGACTTACAGACAGCAGTTGATTTATGAGATCCCAGCTAAACATCAGGAAGAACATTCTGTCAGTAAGAGCTATTTGACAGTGGAACAGACTCCCACAAGAGGTGTGATGTCTCTTTCCTTGGAGGTTTTTAAGCAGAGGTTGGATGGCCATCTGTTATGTATGGTCTAGTTGAGATTTGGACTAGATGACCCAACTCTATGATTCTATAAGATCACGATGCTTTGTGCCCTTCACATTTCTCATATTGGAATAAACTCCCTATTGCATGAGAAACATTTTTGCCCAAGTAATACTCTATGTATCTATCTGTTGCCTGGCCATTCTTGCAGCTAAGGGACTTTCTGACCAGTTCTGAAAGTTGCACTGAAGAATTGGCCTGTACTAAGTCCTTTATTATCAAAAGCAGCTTCCAGGTTGGAAGTGCTTCAAAGGTATCTGCAAGTCTTGTCAATGTGATTTATCCAAATTGTTATGTTCTATTTGCACAATTCTACCTTGCCTATGAAAATGATACAGTATTTATAAGTATATCATGGTGTTGTAGTCCCACCAAGTGACATCTTAGACAGGAGCAATTGATAGCATCTACCAAGGTGAAAAGAGGCCACTTCCTCTTTTTTGACACTAACCTGTGATTGATGCTTAGTGTAACCCACTTAGGCCAGGATGGCTTTTCCCCTGAAGCCACTGAGAGCCTGGCAAAACAAAAAATGGTTTGAGGAATGGACTTCTTATATCACTGGTCATCAACATCTCTTCTGAGAGCTAGGAGCCATTGAGAACACCTGCTTTATGAGACCTATGAGACCCATTGGAAAGTGCACATGAAACTAGTGAAACACAAAATTTTTGTTGAAAGGCAGTACAAAATATTTGAAATATTTAAAAAATATTTAGAATTGAATAATTGAAATTAAAAATATTTGAAACACAGCACATAACAGTTATTATTTGTGAAATTGCAGTGTGACTAAGGCACATTGCTTTATTTTAGTGACATTCCCTTGCACTCAACATATATTTTAAAATGTGCAAAAGTGTGAAGTTTGCCTTGTGCTCTGCCACACCCAGGTATATATAAATCAGGTACCTTGCCAGAGGCACAAGCCCAAGGGCAGAGCCTGTAAAATACTACAGATCTTTGTTGTTTAGTTGTGTCCGATTCTTTGTGACCCCATGGACCAGAGCACGCCAGGCACTCCTGTCTTCCACTGCCTCTCGCAGTTTGGTCAAACTCATGCTGGTAGCTTCGAGAACACTGTCCAACCATCTCGTCCTCTGTCTTCCCCTTCTCCTTGTGCCCTCCATCTTTCCCAACATCAGGGTCTTTTCCAGGGAGTCTTCTCTTCTCATGAGGTGGCCAAAGTCTTGGAGTATTGGTATACAGATCTAGCAAGAACTAAAGAACCACACAATAGTAGCTCTTTGCTTAAAGAGTGAGACTATGTGTGGTTCTTTGCTTTGAGGAGGACATTGGAAGTACAGTATATCTGTGACAAAACTATTATTGTCGTCCTCTCCCATCCCATCCTCCCCCATCCCCCCAGTTTTAATTAAAATAAATAAATAATTTTTGAATGCTTTGAGAGTAACCAACAGGCAAGCCATATCATGGTGTGGTTGTGAAAGTGTATGTGTATTTTTATTTAATTTTACTAGATTTTATTTTGCTAATTAGTAATTTTTATGTTTCTTCCTTTTCCACTACAATGGACAATAATAACCCAGATGTTTTGATAAAGAAACTATTACAGGAACATCCCATTCTAAGCAAAGTAGATCAGACCATCATTCTGAGTTAAAAGCGGGTCCTTTTGAATATGCTTGTTGCATATTTGGATCATATTATGCTGCTGTGGGAATGTCTAAATGAAGAGGTGTTGCAGTTGTGCTAGCTAAGGGTGGTATTAAATATTACTCAGAATAGACCCATTTATTTTCAGTGTTCCAAGATTGGAAGAGTCCTTGAAGGGAGATTTATTTTTGTCAGGGGGTCCTGTGAGGATAAACAATTGACTCTGGCTTCTGAATTGTGTGAAACAGTCTATATATTTTTAGCCAAAACAATAAAGAAATTGTTTCAGTGTTAGGAACTTTACTCACCAGTTTTCCAAATGTAATCACTTCATTTTAACTTCCGAGGATTTAGCATCCTCTCTGCAGCCTCTCGATGTGGGTTACAAAATTTCTCTCAGAATACTCTCATCTCTTCTTATTAGATAAAATTTCTCCCTAATTTGTATATTCAATTCTGCTCATATTTCTTTGCAAAGTGCTATTACAAAAACTGCTGGTGTAATTTAGATTTTTTTTTTATTTCATAAAATGTATACACCACTTGATTGTAAAAAAACAAACAAACCTCAAAGTGGTTTACAAAAATAGAGCTTTCGGTGTCATCGGCCCAGTCCTATGGAATACTCCACTGGTAGAGACTCAGAAGGTGCCTTCTGTTTCAACCGTTAAATGACTGCTGAAAACCTTTCTCTTCTAGCATCCTTATATAGGCAATTAAGAACACATCTTTCCATAATTGTTAGTAGATGGTCTCCAATTTTATTTTATTTTTATGTGTTTTTATTATACATAGTTTTTATTGTAAACTTCTTTGATGTTTTTATGATCTAGTGACATATAAATATTATTAATAAAATATGCTGCCTTATGCTACCATCTCTAGACTCTTGTATTAATTTACAAGAACCTTGGCAACTTGAGTCCACTTGACTCCTAATACACTTGCCCAGTCATTGAAAATATTTGGAGGAGTCTCTATTAGTAGTTCCCCAATGGCTCAGATAGATGCATAGCTCATATCAATCAAGAACCAGGCATTCAATACTGTGGGTCCAATTCTGTGGAACTCTCTCCCACTCAGGTTACTCAGGCCCCCTCCCTGTTGAACTCTTCACACTTTTTATTTATTCATTTAAGCAGGCATTTCAAGTGAGTTTTTCTGATTTTTAAATGATTTTGTGCCGTATCCCAATTGTACACCACTTGGGAACTTGGATATTAAGCCATTTATACATTACAGAAATGGATGTGGTTGAACCATCAACCATTTCAGTTGTTGATAAATACTGTTTATTAACCAAAGGTTGTAAAATAATTAGTGAATATTTAAGATAGTAAGTATTGAAGTTGTATCCAAATGAAATTTATGGATCTGGTTGTATTTTTATCATTTTACTCAGCTGTATTGCTCTTGGGAATTGTGCTTTTCTTTTTAAGCTCTGAAGTTGTTTAAAAGTAAAAGTGCCATTACTTGAAATGATGTAAGCTCAGCCTTGCGTTTGATATTCATTGAAAATACTGCATCTTGTGATACAAGCAATTATGTAAATAAGTATAAACATTTAGGAAATAAACTAATAATTACACATAAAAATAACACTAATTTATCCGGAGGGCTTATCCACACTTGCCTTTTGCCTGCTCCTTGCAGGCACAAGTCCATGCTTAAAAGCTCTGGGTCTGAGTGTGTGTGTGTGTGTGTCTGAGTGTGTGTGTTTGCATACTTTCCTTGCAAGAACTAGGCAAAACTTGAGGTATTATTCTCCGGGTATTTTTCTGCAAAATTGTAGTAATGGCTTCTCATAATACGTTTTAAGTGTTTAGCAATGTAGAGTTCTGTTCTGCCTTTTTTAAAAGATAAGTTTTAAAGCAGCTTTTCTGATTCTCAAACCTTTCATGGGGATGCCAGGAAAAATGCCAGAATACAGTGGGTGCTCATATTAAGAACACATGTCCAAATAAGAAAGTTATTTTTTCTCTATGCTGTTGGTCACAGAGCGAGATGTAGTAGCAATGTGGCAGAAAGGGAGCCTGTTTGCAGTGTTCTGACAAATGATAATGACTGTGAATTTAAAAATGTGTAATACATACAATTTATAATGGAATTCAACAGGAACAGATTATACCATTCTCTTGGTCCGGTGACAAGAATGGCACGAAATGGCTATCGAGGCCACATGAAGGGCAGCAGGTACCAGCCCCTTGTGTTCAGGGGTCAGACTTTTTCCTCTGGTGTTGGTGACTTGGTTGATATTGAAGTGGGTGCAATCTGACACACCTGATCTTTCTGGCTTCCTTGGGCAAATCATGTCAATGAACTTTCCCTTTAAAAATAGGTCTTCCCTCTTTTGTGTCTTAATCATATCTTTATAGAATGTGGCTGGCTTGTTCTGATCTGCAAATTTCATTTCTTAAAGTATTGCACTATTACCTGGAAAAGCCTAGATGTGTTTTTAAAGTATTATGTTGAAAGTAATTGGGGTGGCAAGAATGATGTTGGTACCTAAGCGCCTTAATATCCAAAATACTTTCTTAAATTTTTTGCATTGGTGCCCTTCCCCCGTCTGAGTCATATATTTTAATAAATTGCATGAACATCAGTTATTGGCTTCAACCCATTCTGAATGGCATTTTATGCAAAACTGCTTGGAAGCTTCCATACACGTCCAGCTGTTTTACATTCCTAATTAAACTTCTTTCTCTATAACACTGTGGCCATCCAAGAAACCTAGCTCAAACAACTATAAAAATCAAGCATCACCTGGAGTTAAGATACGCATTGGATGCCTTGCCAAAACTGGTGGACTCTTGACAGGTTCAGGTTGTTAGATCTGTCAAGTTTACACTTGACAAACAGATGAAGAGTGAATGGAAGAATTTTTCCAAGATGCTTCAGAAATTCTCAGACTGTCTCTAGAGAGCCGATGGCTGTGCCCACATAAACTGCTTGGCATGCACTGAGACACACACAGTTGCATCAGTCACATTTGTCCTCTTGAAAGCTGGTCAGCTGTTCACTACAAGCCATGTAGAAACAGATTAAATTAACTGCTCTGGGTCAAGCTTTCTGCTTCCATGCTTCTTCTGTCACTGTTTTCAAACACATTGATGTGGTATTGTGCATGTATTTAGCTCTTGCTTTTTTCAGTTTCTGCAACTCGGAATCTTAACAAATCGCCTTTCTACCAGGTCTGAATAATTAAAAATCACACGTGTGAGATGAGTGGGGTTTGGTTTTTTTTAATGAAATTGAATCTGAACATTTTGCTGTTTCGGATTTATTGTAGTTGTAATATGTCTATCCGTAATGTTGAAAGTTATTTTTATTTAAGATTAATTTGCTGAACTGGAGGGCATGTTGCTTGTGCTTCTGGGGGAAACATCCATTGAAGCAGCCAAAAGTCATAGCCAATGACTTTTTCCACAGTGAAATCCAATAAATGACATGGCAACATTAACACAGATGTTAATTTCAAGTTAAATCATGCTTGGAGAACTGCTATTGGGATATTTTGTGTATTCCCGTCTTTTACTCATTCTTTTTTATAGTTCTGCAGAGTCTGAGGATTTAGCTGTTCATTTGTATCCAGGAGCTGTTACTATTCAAGGCGTTCTCAGAAGGAAGACTGTATTGAAAGAAGGCAAAAAGCCGACAGTAAGACATTGAATGAATTGTTTAAAATGTTTCTCAGGTCCTTTTAGCAGTCAGTTGGTTGAAAGACAGGATAGAAATAAATCAAATAAATTTGTGGCATTGCAACTCCCAGCCAAGTCAAATGATTCCTGGATGCGGCCTTGCCCTTGCCACTGCTGCATTCTTGAAGTAGCGCAGGGGTAGACAACCCATAATGAGCAGTTATGAACTCAGTTGCACACATCCTTTGTCTAGGCAAGGAGTTACTGAGCACAGAACAGGGTCTCTTTACCCCGTTTTCTTGTTTTGGGCTGCATTCATTTAGAGGTAATCTGTCAGGGATCACATGTGGACGTGGCCAGAGTCAAAACTGGATGAGGTTATGTTATCTCTTCTTTCTTTTTTCCTCTCTTATTCTCTTGCTCTTTCTCCCCGCCTTAACAGGGAGGATCACTCTTGCAAGACTCCTGAGCTGTTCACTTGCAGCTGTTCACAGCTTTTGATATTAAGCTGAGAGATGCCCACCCCTGTTGTAGTGAAGGAATGGGTTTCTGTGCAGTCAGTTTAAAACTGACTCAACCCCCCCCCTTTTCTTCTTTCTCCAAGAGAGCACTCTAAAATGCATAAAACTTGAGCTGTTGAGCAAATGCATAACAAGGACACAGCTGCATAAACAAACTCTCTCCTTTATCAGTCACGGCAAGGGATGACCTTGACAGTACCAGTAGAACAGAGAAGACACGTCTGTGCCTTTTCTTATGTCCTGACCACAAAGACCACAGACCCAGTCTGGGAAGAGCGCCAGAGTGTGTTCTCGGAGATGGTGACCTCTTGCTCCAAGATAAGAGTAGGAACAGGAAGATCCTTTTATGGTCAGAAGTACAGGAAGGAAGATCCTTTTTTGGTCAGAAGTATAGGAAGGAATACCCTTTTATGGTTAAGAATACCAGAGCAGGAACATATGTGATGTCAACCTGCGTACATAGGCTGACGTGGTTGGATTCCTAGGGAAGGAGGGAGAGGGTGCCTGGAGGATATATATACTGTATGAAATTTTTCATTTCTTTGGACTTGCTGTGGACTAATCACGCAAGTGCCTTCTGCTATCCGGAGAGCAGAATAAACTCTTTCTTTGAACCAACCTCGGTGTCATTTGACTTCCTTCCTCCCGTCTAGGAGCAACGCAGACCCAATCGGTGAACTCCAATAAGGCTACATTTCTAGTAGTTACCACCACCCTAGGGACCCTCCATTCCATCAGGTCCAGTTGTTGCAGGTCTTAGGAGAAGCCGCTACTATGGAGAAAAACATCTCCGCATTTATTGAATCAGCTCTCATGACTGAAAACCAAAGCTGGCAATAATAAATATAACTGTTTAGTCATTTTAAATAGGGATGCAAAAGCAAAATTCTTAGAATTTCAAACCTTTGAAATCACCAAAACATTTATATCTATACTTGCTCTAAATTTAGATAAAGAATAGGTTTCTTTTTTGCTTAATGATTCTTGCATACCTTTACCTTTTTTTTTACTAACATGTTGGTGCTATCTTGTTTAATTTGGGCAGTCAGTATTTGGTTGCATCCGTGCTTCTCAAATTAAGTAACAATTTTTTAAGGAAATGCATAAGTACATTTTGCCTCCAGGCCAGTTTTACTTGATTAGAACATTGTATGGATTGTAACGTGACAGTAAAAATAAAAAGGAAGCATGAGGGGACTTGCTGAAAAAGAGCATGGTGACTTGTGTTTGAGGTTCAGATTGAGGTTGAATCCTGACAAGACAGAAGTACTGTTTTTGGGGGACAGGAGGCGGGCAGGTGTGGAGGATTCCCTGGTCCTGAATGGGGTAACTGTGTCCCTGAAGGACCAGGTGCGCAGCCTGGGAGTCATTTTGGACTCACAGCTGTCCATGGAGGCACAGGTCAAATCTGTGTCCAGGGCAGCTGTTTACCAGCTCCATCTGGTACGGAGGCTGAGACCCTATCTGTCTGCAGACTGCCTCGCCAGAGTGGTGCATGCTCTGGTTATCTCCCCCTTGGACTACTGCAATGCGCTCTACGTGGGGCTACCTTTGAAGGTGACCCGGAAACTACAAATAATCCAGAACGCGGCAGCTAGACTGGTGACTGGGAGCGGCCACAGAGACCACATAACACTGGTCTTGAAAGACCTACATTGGCTCCCAGTACGTTTCTGAGCACAATTCAAAGTGTTGGTGCTGACCTTTAAAGCCCTAAACGGCCTTGGTCCAGTAGACCTGAAGGAGCGTCTCCACCCCCATCGTTCTACCCAGACACTGAGGTCCAGCACCGAGGGCCTTCTGGCAGTTCCCTCATTGCGAGAAGCGAGGTTACAGGGAACCAGGCAGAGGGCCTTCTCGGTAGTGGCGCCTTCCCTGTGGAACACCCTCCCACCAGATGTCAAAGAGAACAACAACTACCAGGCTTTTAGAAGACATCTGAAGGCAGCCCTGTTTCGGGAAGCTTTTAATGTTTGATGTATTATAGTATTTTAATATTCTTTTGGAAGCCGCCCAGAGTGGCTGGGGAGGCCCAGCCAGATGGGCGGGGTATAAATAAATTAAATTATTATTATTATTATTATTATTATTATTATTATTATTATTGTGTTTCCCTCCATAAATCTTGGTGCTTCTGCCAGCCATTAGTGTGGAAACCCAGCTTTTGGAAAGGAAGTTCTCTTCTTTGTGTGTTTGCCCCACATCACATTGCTCTCCCTATTTTCTCATAGTTTTCTCGTTCCTAGACTGAGAAGAAATGTGGATTACCACAAAATGTGGGTTACTACTACTACTACTAATAATAATAATAATAATAATAATAATAATTTATTTATATCCCGCCCTCCCCAGCCGAAGCCAAGGGGTCTGTCTTGCTATGCTGTTTTGCCCTTGAGGAGGCTCACTGCAGCACAGTTTGGAAGCGATCGATTTATACAAAGCATTTCTTTTTGCAACACTTGCCGGACCCATTTCTTTAGTGATCTAGGCTGAAAACTAGAACGTCGTTTGAATCTATAAGATACTGTTGTATTTTGTTTTATTTCTTGGAATGCCTTTGTTTTGAAAGTATTGCCCTGCTCAAGACCCCTTTGAAATGGGCTGGGGTGAAAAAAATCTGAAGAAATAAAATGAAAATGAAACTGCCTTAGTCTCTTAAAGGTATTAATCTGAGGACTCTTTGCTTTTGCAGGTAGCATCTTGGACAAAATACTGGGCAGCACTGTCTGGAACTCAGCTTTTCTACTATGCCGCAAAGTCCTTGAAGGCGACAGAAAGAAAACATGTATGCAATGCATTGTACTACATCTCCCAATGATATTTATGATCTTCATCCAGAGGGATAGATAGAACCAAACAGATATTATAGATATTTTAATATGCAACATGCATTCTCTTAATTACCTTTTCCTGCTCTTTATTCAGAGATGATAGTTTAGCTACCTTGCTTTTTCCAGGACAGTATTTTGCCTTTTTTTCCCCGACAGCAGGATTAACATTTTTTCTTCTCTCCTTTCATTGGGAACACTGCAACTGCAAACGTTTTCACTGCTGCTTTCTGGTTAACCATTACTGCTGTCTGGATACTTGCTGCTCTGCCTGCTTTTCTCCATTAGTTCCCTCTCTTAGCCTCTCCATCTTGATTTTCTGCTGCCAACTCAGCTCAACAGCAGTCTTGAAAAACAATTCCAAACTCTGTAAATCTTCCTGCTTGAAATGCTCTGGAAGCAGCCTTCTGAGTTCAGCTGGATCTGTCTTAGTATACAAAGCTTGCCATGCACAATGTATACTGTAGCTACTAAACAATGTAAAGCAGCCATTGTGATAATCTCCAGTCTGATGAATCTGCAGTGGTACATTTTCTTGGTATTTAAATTCTTCAGGTCCCTAAAGCATGGGTACTAAAGTCACACTCATCCCAAAATGTGTACACAAACTGATTTCCTCAAATTGAGTCCTGTTCGTCTCTGATTTCAAATGGCCAATAACTTTTATCTGAAGCAGAGCATTGTAAGAAAGAAGTCTTCAATTGATTTCAGACAAATTGAAAAGCCAATTCCTATTGCCAATTCTGGTAGTAGCTGTATACATCCTTTGTGTCGTATGTTTTTCACTCATGCAAAATCAGAATTCTACATTATGTTTGGATTGGAGAGGCAGACTTTTAAAATGTAACATGTAACATCTCTGTTCAGCTTTTAACATCTATTTTGCATTAATGACGTAAAAAGCCAGTGCTGTTTTGTTCTGTGTTGCAGCATTTAATGCATATCTTGTGGTTTGTTTGTTTTTTCCTCTTTCCATTAACGTGGTTCTGTTCTTTGCTTCCTGCTTTCCTCCAGTTCAAATCTACCCCAAGTAAGACTGTATCTGTTGTGGGATGGATGGCCATGATGGCTGATGACCCAGAACATCCAGATCTCTTCCTGCTCACAGATTCTGAGAAAGGTCAGTGACTGAATATCCTTGGTAGATTCCCGTATGATTGTGGACACTGGGTGATCTTGGGACAATGGGATTATTGCCTTTTTGCCACTAATTATGGAAGCAAATAGGGACGCGGGTGGCGCTGTGGGTAAAAGCCTCAGCTCCTAGGGCTTGCCGATTGAAAGGTCGGCGGTTCGAATCCCCGCGGCGGGGTGCGCTCCCGTTGCTCGGTCCCAGCGCCTGCCAACCTAGCAGTTCGAAAGCACCCCCGGGTGCAAGTAGATAAATAGGGACTGCTTTCTAGCGGGAAGGTAAACGGCGTTTCCGTGTGCGGCTCTGGCTCGCCAGAGCAGCGATGTCATGCTGGCCACGTGACCCGGAAGTGTCTTCGGACAGCGCTGGCCCCCGGCCTCTTGAGTGAGATGGGCGCACAACCCTAGAGTCTGGCAAGACTGGCCCGTACGGGCAGGGGTACCTTTACCTTTATGGAAGCAAATGAACCTCAGGAGAATAAAATGCATACAAACACTGGACAGCAAAAGAAAATGTGTACTATAGAAATATTTTATTG